TCTAATGGTGTTTGTAAATGGGATCACAAGTCCGCATCTTGTACAGCAATTAACCACTAAGAAGAATATATGCAGTGTATTATTTGTTGAAACTATCCTTCCGATATGATTTGAAACTGTCTCATTGCTATCTGTTTGTCAATAAAACTTTGAAAAAAAATAAAATTAAAAAAAAAAGAACTAAGTGGTAAGTTTGTCCTATAAATACAAGAATTAAAATTCCCTATTTAATTGATCCCAGGCATGCTGTGCCAGCCCCGCCCCCGGGATGCACTGCGACAATGACTAAGACTGCGCAAGGTGGTGCGTGCCTGTAATCCCACAGCTTGAGAGGGTGAAAACAGGTGGATCACTACACGTCCAATCTGTGTAGTGAGACCCCGTAGACCCTGTCCTAAATACAAAAATAATAAATAAATAAATTTCCCAATTTATAGCTACTTAAATTGTGGAAGGCTTTGGCATTTATCTAACTGAAGTCTGTCTTAGGAAATACAATACGGATATAAACAGCTTCTTAAAAGCAATAAGCATTTAAATAAATTAGATAGGATTGTAGAACTAAGTCATTTGCTTAAAAAGCAGTAAAATTATACCAGTAATTCTCCAAGTGATACATTGTTAGCATCACTTGAGAGATTAGAAATGCAGGTTACCGTAGCAGCCTCCCTAAGGCCTTGTGGATCAGGAAATCCTAGAGTACGGCCAGGGCTCTGTGTTCTAAGTGGCCTTACAAGTGATACTGATACACTTTTAGGAACCATTGAATAAGATAACCCATGAGGTTCCTTCCAACTCTGACTTTGGTAAGTCTTCAAATTGGAAAACTGGCCCCAAAAGTTTAACATATAGTGTTGATACCAATGGCAGTAACCATTTTGTTGCAGCAAAATATCCTTTTATTGGGTATCACCTGGTACAGAGAAGGCTTTTACTCGAGGGGAATCTTGTGTTTCACCTGAGCTCCTCAGAATCCCATGTGAAAGCCCCGTCTCAGCCACAGTACATGTCCGTGGCATATGTACTAGAACACGTACGTCACCAAAAGATGAGCATACCTGGGAGTGGACAGTCACACCTAATGAAACTCTAACTCCTATTTTCTTTCATTTTGCTATTGTTTTTAAACATTACAGTTCTGCTCACTCAGTCCCCTAATTGGTTGGTGATACAAACACAACTGGCTCAACTGAGAAGCTCCTCACCTCCTGAGGACACGGTAATTCCAGCTCAGTGCCCCAACTACCGACAGGTGACCCCGCAGATTGCACAGACGCTTCTTAGTTACCACGTCCCATAACTGAAAAAAGCCAACAAGCAGGGTCATGTAGGTTGGCATTTTCATAATCCACTACATTCTCAGAGGTTTGGCTGCTGATTACTTTTGATGTAGCCAGCTTGTTATCAGCTAAGTGAAGACTCAGAACCTTTAACTCTAACCAGCAGGTCCCAATTCTGCTATATGTTAGGATCCCCGGGCGGGGGTTTATCAAACACCATGGATGCTGACAATTCTAATTAATTGGTGTACGAATGCTGGTTCTGCTGCACAAATAAAGCTTTTATTTTCAAGCTTCCCAGATGAATTCAACATACAACTAAGGCCTGAGAATCATTATCAAACTTCTAGATCCTTGTAAACTGTGAGAATTTCGAGCTTGGAAACCCACTTAAATTGCCAATAAACAAACAGGTTGAATATTTCTTATCTGAAATGCCAGGACCAGAAATGCTTCCAATTTGGAGTTCTTCAGATTTTGGAATGTTTATGTAGAATTTTTACCAGTTGTGCATTCCCAGAACAAAATACTCCAATATCTGAAATTTTTGTATTAATCTCTAGGAATAAAATTTAAGTACTTGAACATTTCCAGAAGTCAGAAATTCAAATCACTGCTAAGGGACCCCATTCCTACTAGCTAGCGATTATATTCTGACCTATATTACCTATATGAAGAAGAATGGTATGAAAAGAAATCATGAGATTCCTTTCACAGTACTAAGTATTCTTGGCAGACATAAGAAAGCAGTGAGAACCATCTAGAATCCTCTAAATCACCTGATACATGACAATACTGTCTTCACTGTTGCTAATAAATGTTGGTAATAAAAATGATACATAGGAAATCAGATACATTGGTGAAAACTTGATAAATCCTTATCTCAAAGAAACTATCTGAAAGAAATCCACTCATTTTGCACAATCACACTTTTGTTGTCTTTTCTCAGTTTCTATTCTTTATTGGTACTGTATATGTTTGTAATATATAATGATTATGTTCCTCCTGAGGAGCTGGCACCTGCATATAACTTGTCTCAATTCCTTCCTCACTTCCTTTCTCTCCCTTCTTTCATCCCTCCCTCCATTTCTTTGTTCCCTTCCTATTTGCAAAAGATCCATTTGCCTATTTCTATAGCTTTACTCCTAACCACAGCTCTGGCTGGAAAGGAACCGTGCGGCATCCGCCTCTCTGCAAGCAGCCAAAGCTAGGGTGTCTACAAACCCAGTGTTACTTCAGAGCAAAAGAATTTTTTAAACAACAACAAATGAAATTACTGTGAAAAGCTAAGATTGTGAGGAAAACCCACGCAGCACTATATCCGTAACTCCTCCCAAACCACCGGGGGGGACAAAGGGGGCCGAGCGCGCTCTCCTGGCTTCCCGTGGGGTCGGTGGCACAGCTCACCCAGTTTCTCTGTTACACATTAGTATATCACTAGAAGTCAGTCTTCGTCATCTGCTAACTACACAGAGGACATTCTGAAAAGGAGAGCTGTCCCGTACCCGCACTTCTCCCTCGCTGGTGCCCACCGCCAGGCGTTCCCTGTCTGATCCAGGACACAGAAGATATATAACTACAAGTGAGACTTAAGTCTACGTTTTCAACCCCACTGTGGTCTTCTCCATTCCAGATGCATACAGTAGAGCCAAGGGCGATGGCAACAAGATTTTGAAAACTCCAATCTAGAATATTCAGAACTACAAGAAAAGTACTTCAAATTAGGAGGATTATATGGCCAAAGAGACACATTTTTTTCATACCACTTTTTTCTTTTTTATGAGAAACATTTTTTGATAAAACCTTTTACTTATTCATAGGTAAGGGAAAGTCAACCTCTTGCCCACAGTTGGCTGGAAAATAGAATCACCAATCCAAATAGATCATCAGCAGACATTCAAAAATAAAACTAATGGGGCTGGGGAGATGGCTCAGTGGAATAAGCACTTCCCTGGCAAGCGCAATGGTCTGAGTTCAATCCCCAGTTCCGAAAAAAAAAAAAAAAAACCTAGAACAAACCAGATTGCAGGCTCACAGTCTAATAAGCAATAATGTTTATCATTTATGCTCAAAATATACTTATCTAGAGGTATTAAAAAGCTTGATTGTAAAAGGCTCAAGTCAATACTTCTGAGGATAACCCACTAATATTATAGACTGCTAGACAGTATTAGATGTTTAGTTGAATTCAAACACTTATAGTATTTAGATGCCAATAGAATATTCACCTCTGACAGGACAAATAAATAAATAAATAAATAA